ATACAAGCCCACATTTCAAGGAGAAAAGATCAAATCCTCACTTCTGTTCCCCACCCATGTTAGAAATTAAGTTTCAATCCCTGTCTCCATTGGGTTCCAGGTTTCCCCACCCGCTTCGTCCCCATGGTTCCGCCCCATCCCTGATCTATATTATTTTAAAAAATAATTATATTTATAATAAATTAATTTTACTATATATAAATAAAAATTTATAATTTTATAATTTATAATTATTATTAATTAAATATATATTTTTTAATTTATCATATTTATATTAAAATATGTATGTAAAAGAAATATTTAATAATTATTTATTTATATATATATATATATAATATTTATAACATTATTATTATTATTATAACACTATATTCAAACATTTGAATACTTATAACATTATTATTATTATTATTATTATTATTATTATATTATATCCAAACATTTGATTACATATATAAATTAATTCATTTTTAAGTTGTTATTTAAAAATATGAAATATAAAAAAGGAAATATTTAATAAGTTAATTCTTATTTAATTAGTTCAAAGTAATAAAAATTTAAATTATCAATTATTTTTAATCTTTTAAAATATAATTATTTTATTAAGATAAAATTTAATATATGACAAATAAGAATAATAAAAAAAATGACATAATAAAATCTAATAAATATAAATTATAAATAAAATAATATTAGTTACTACTAAAATTTATGTAAAATATTTAGAAAAAGATAAAGAAGAAAACAAATTAACTTTATGTTCATCAAATTGGTTGAAAAGATTGAAAAATAAAATTGATTGGAGAGATTAAGGAAATGTGAAAAAATGAAAGGTAAGAGAGAGAATAATGTAGTAAACTAATTGATATAAAAAATTAAAAAAGACAAAACAATTAAAAAGTGGGTAGAAGAAAAGTAAAAATAGTGAAATATAAAAAAATGACCTTATATATAGTTGAAAAAGATAATGAAATACTTTTAAAATATTAATATTTTAAAATTTAAATTTAAATATAAAGTCGGTCATTTGAACAAGGACGGGGTCGGGGTGGGGATTGCATTACCCATCTCTACCCCCATCTTCGCTCCCAGTTAACTTGGTTTTTCCACCTCAAACTCAGGGTGTGGATGAGTTTAATTGTCATCCCTACCTTTAATTGTTCTTCTCGTTATTGTTCTCACATTTTATGTGGCAACCATTGTTTCTCTCCATTTGGATGTCCGATATTATTGTACAAATTAAAATATATTTAGGTGATTCTTCATTCATGTTTTGTATCCTTTTTTGGATTCATATATTTGGAGTTGTGTAGTGATCTTATCGATTCTAGTTTCTTTCAATTGCATTGGTTATATCGAATCATTGACTAATTTTGTTACTTATTGTGATTTAACTTTTTTTTTTATTGAAACAAAGATTAAAGGTTGTGTTTCTTTCAGTGAACATGATTAAGTATTAGAATTGTGATTTCAAAGGACTATATTAGTGTAAGTGGATGATTAATCTAAATTGTATATATTAGATTTTTTTTAGGATTTTATGTTGCACTCTCTCTTTTTACGAGTCTTTTCCCTCTTTCACTCTCTCTTGTTCGTCTCTTTGGACACACCAAGTATGCTAAGAGGCATTATGAAGTCATCACATCTAATTTGTCTTCCAACTCCTTTACCTTCCATTACCCTCTCATTCAGAGAAGAATTAGTCTCCAACACCTCCTTCATTGAGTTTCTGGCATCTCACAATTCTTTCCTCAACTTAGTCAAGTCCACAAACCCACTTAAGTTAGCTAACTTGGTATACATGAGCTTCCCAACACCAAGACACATGTTTATAGTTTCATGAACATCGCAGTAGTTTGAACATATGCATAGCTTTCTCTCTCAATGGCTATCAAAGCAATATTCACCTTTGTTGAGACTTGGAGATCACTCCCCAAAATAATGTTCTAGTCCACATCCCTCGTGTGAACTGGGGATTGTTTCAATGAATGCTCTTTGGAAGAGTCCTACCCACTTTGATGCTTGCCTTCTGTCCTCTTATGCTTATATTTTGCTTCAATGATTGGAGGGAGAAGGTCACGTTGTGCCTCTTTCACCATCGACGACTTCATGACAACTCCTTTACTCTTGTTAACTAAGGATGTATTCTCCTTCCTCAACTACTTAAATAAACCATTGTTCATTGGGAATGTCATGTCTATAATGTCTAAATTAAGATCAATTGAACACAATTAACATCAAGTAAAAGAAAGTACAAAATAAAGAGTAATATCATACCAAAAATATCACTTTGGTATCAAGGTGATGAGTACACCCTTAGAAGTTTTTGGATGGGTAGTCATTGAGGGTGCTTATCAAGAATTTTAAGAGTTTGTATGTCTGAAAAATACATGTCAGTCATCAACTAATCACAGTATTTGATCAAATCAAGATCTAATAAAAGGAAAACTTAGGTCTATTGCTATCATAAAAGAAATGTCATCCATCATTTTTCACTTGAACTTAAAAAAAAAAAACATCTTGAAATTCTTAAAAGAAGATTGGCCTATTAAAGATAGCCAATCAACTTGGTTACCCGCAAAGTGCTAAAGTGATGGAGGAACACTAGTAGAGTAGGATCAAAATGTAAAACCTCACTTGCTAGCCTGAATATTTGTAAGGTTGCCTAATTATTAGGTTGCAATTGCGTTGATGCCACATTCAAAACTCGTAACACCCATAATAAATTGGAAAACGAACATATAAATTTTTAACAAGACAACAATATATATAAAAGAAGTCATCCTACTAGTTCTCACGTCCATGACAAACATTGTTAATAACACAACATTTACCTAATAACATTATATTCTCACCTTTTACCCATTCTATCAAACGCTAGCTCTTGATGAAGGATATAAAGGTAGATGACCAATAATACTTGAAAAATACTTTTTAATGTAAGGATCCACCTAATCATAATCACCCTTTAGCATCACCAATACGTGCATGCTCTATTGTCAACAAAGTGTTTACATTAGTAGGATTACCATGCCCACCACTATCAATTGAAGTTTCGCCGTTGTCAGAAGACAAAACACTAACATTGTTTAAATTATCTCCAATACCCTAGACAACAATCTCCCATGCCCCCTACTTGAATTAATGACCCACCTGAAAACTCATCAGTAGTTAAAGAAGAAAATGAAGACATAACTAAAATTCAATAATTTCTCTTTCATAAGGCACTAAACTAAAACTCTTATTCAAATACTAGATCAAGAAATCATGTGGTCCAAAAAATGAGACCCACCACTTATTTATAAGTTAAAACACCACATGTTAGATTCCATCAATCAATGATTGTAACCCGACCCTTATACACGAAAATATCACATCACCACTTTCCGAGCATACCGACACATCCCTTCACCTTCTAGAAACTTATCAAAAAACCTCTTGTACTATTTACACTCTTCATTGTCTAGTACACCTCCTAAAGCTTAGAGCACCAATATGTAGACATGTTGAGAGTTTACCAACCAAAGATAATGGAATTTTTTTTTCTTAAGACTCTTCGTCGTTTGAAGCACCTCATCAAGACTAGGGGGACAATATGTAAGTCATGCTTAGAGTTTATTGACAAAAAATAATGAATTTTTTTTTCTTAAGACTCTTTGTCATTTATAACACCTCCTTGAATTTGGGGGGTTTCAGAATGTAAGACATGTAAGAGCTTATTAGGTAAAGATAATGAATTTTTTTTCTTAAGACTCTTCTTTCGTGTATAACAACTCCTTGAGCCTAGGAACCAAGGACATGCCAAGAGTTTGCTACTTAAATATAATGAAAATTTTCTTTCTTAAGACTCTTCGTCATCTAAAACCACTATTTTGAAAATTGGACTGAATCGGACGGTTCAACCGGTCTAACCTAAAATCGATCTAGAAATCGATGATACTTTCAAATAATTGAGATAAAACCGAGAAAATCAATTAGGTTTTTAGGTTGAACTAGTTTTGATGAAAATAAAATAAAATCAATTTTTTTAATATAATTTTTTTTATAAAATATATAATATATTTTTATATTTTTATTTTGTTTTTTTTATCTCATATTAATTATATCAACTTTAAATAATAATTATTTCACTATATTATTATCTTATTTTAACAATTATCCATCTTATACTCACTAATATATTTTATATTTATTATCTTTCTTATCATTTAAGACAATCATAACATAAATATTTATTATTATTTTTTTAAAATATTATATTAATAAATTTATTATATTATAAAAATATTATTTTATCAAATCTAATTGAATCTTTAAATCCTAAATTTATATTTTCATTAAATCAATATTCAGTCAAATTTTAAAATCATAGTCTAAAATAGAACTAATTCAATATATAAACAATACACGAAGATATAAATACATAAAATTACTATATAAATAATTGACAATCTCTTAATAATTATCACATTGAATATCAAAATATATTATTTATACATTAATATTAAATTATATATTTTTTAATAATTTGTACCGAACATTTATTTTAAATAAAAAATTTAAAATTTTACTATTCAAACACATTTTACCATAAACTTTCCAATTTTTATGCGTTTTACCAGTTTGTTAAAATTTTAACTAGTAATGATATGTGATTTAAAAAAATAAATCCAAAACAACGTAGATTTGATATTCACTTCTATAAGACGTGGTGTTTTGATTTGTTTTAATTTTTTATGACATATCACCATCCTCTTAAAACTTAACATATCCATTAAATTAAAAAAAAAAATTTTTAGAATGATGATATGGTAAAAAAAGTGTAATTAAATTTATGAAATACAGTTGATAATATTCTAATTGAAAAATAATAAGAAAAAAGACAAAAACAAAAAAATAAAAATATGTAAAACCTTAAACCCTACTTTCTCCAAATCCCCAAAACCCCTCTTCTCTCTTCCTCCTAGTGCGCGCACTCTTCCATTGTCACCCCAACGACAATGCCTCAACCCAGAGCAACGCGGTTCCTCCTCCTCCTCTCTCGCCCCAGCTCCACCCGGAACCTCCCTCCTCCTCCTCCCAACCACTATCGCGTCCACGTCCGAACCATCTTCGACGGCAATTTCAAGCCAGTCCGAGACCGTGGCCTGGACCACGCCGTGGAGCGCGAGAAAAACCTCAAACCCTTACTCTCCCTCAAAAACCTCATGAAACGCGAACCCACCAAATCCCTCCCTCTATCAATCATAAAAAACACCCTCCATTTTCCTTTCCGTTCCATCGAATTCATCCGCAAGTACCCCTCCGTCTTCGAAGAGTTCCTCCCCATACCCACCCTTCCCCAGCCCCACATCCGTCTCACGCCGGAAACCCTCCGTCTCGACGCTGATGAGCAGCTCATTAACCAATCCCACCAGTTCAAACACCAATCAGCTGACAAGCTCTTGAAACTGTTGATGATTGCAAGAATCCACAAAATCCCACTCCCACTCATTGAACACTTACAATGGGACCTCGGTCTACCGGATGACTACGCCGAGACGGTTGTACCGGAATTTCCGGACTACTTTCGTATTGCGGACGGGTTCCTGGAACTCGTATGCTGGAGCCATGAGCTGGCGGTTTCAGTTCTCCAGAACCGAAACCGAAAAGATGAACTTGATGACCAATTGGTGTTTCCTGTTCAGTTTTCTACTGGTTTTGAGATGGATAAGAAGTATGATAAGTGGTTGAGGGAGTGGCAGAGGTTGCCTTATGTGTCTCCTTATGAGAATGTGTCTCATTTGTCACCTACAAGTGATGAGTCTGATAGGTGGGTTGTTGGAGTGTTGCATGAGATTCTTCATGTTTTTGTTGGGAAGAAAACTGAGAAGGATAGTTTGTTGGAGTTAGGAGAGTGGTTGGGGTTGAGGTCGAGGTTTAAGAGGGCGTTGTCGCAGCATCCGGGGATTTTCTATGTGTCTAGTAAGGTTGGGACCTATACTGTTGTTTTGAGAGAGGGGTACAAGAGGGGTGCGCTGATTGGGGATCATCCAGTGATGAATTTGAGGAACCAGTATGTTCATCTGATGAATAGTGTGAGTGAAGAGGGGAAAGTGGGTAAGGTGGTGCAAGGAAAGGGTGGTGTGGATGAGGCAGAGGCTAAAGGCGGTGATGAGGGGGAAGGAGAGGGAGAGGGAGTGGGAGAGGATGATGGGGAGGGTGTGGGGGAGCATGAAGAGGGGGCTTGTGAAGTTGAGGATGACAGTGAAACTGATGTTGATGAAAGGAGGTCTTGGAGAGGTAGTCAGAAAATTGCTACTGGGAGAAGGAACAGGAACTTTGGGAAAGTGAAGTTAGATGTTGACAAACCTTTGAGGGATTCTCGGAGGGAAAGATTGACTCTGAGAGATTCTGAAAGGGAACGATCGTCTTTTAGAGTTTCTCAAAGGGAAAGATCACATTTGGGAGATTCTCAAAGGGAAAGATCACCTTTGAGAGATTCTGGGAGGGAAAGATCACCGTTCGGAGATTCTCGAAGGGAACGATCATCATTGAGAACTTCTGGAAGGGAAAGGTCGTCTCTGAATAATTCTCGAAGGGAAAGATCACCTTTGAGAGATTCTGGGAGGGAAAGATCACCGTGCGGAGATTCTCGAAGGGAACGATCACCATTGAGAAATTCTGGAAGGGAAAGGTCGTCTCTGAATAATTCTCGAAGGGAAAGATCATCTTTGAGAGATTCTGGGAGGGAAAGATCACCTTTCGGAGATTCTCGAAGGGAACGATCACCATTGAGAAATTCTGGAAGGGAAAGGTCGTCTCTGAATAATTCTCGAGGGGAAAGATCACCTTTGAGAGATTCTGGGAGGGAAAGATCACCCTTGAGAGATTCTCGAAGGGAAAGATCAACTGGGAATACACAGAAAACCGGGGAGAAGAATGTTAGAAGTTTCTAAAAGAAGATTAGTGCGAGGTGCACATTGAAAGAAGTTGAAAACACGCGAGTGATCAAGATATTGCAAAAGCAGCAGACAGCCAATAACCAGCAAGAAAACCCCTGTTTTCTTAAGATTCAATTTTGTTTCTAGCAACTATCACGTGTTCTGGTACGCCGTTTCTGCTCTCGGTCCTTCCCTGTTATTAGTTTGAAACTTAAGGTTAAATTTTTTAAGTGTTTTGTTGTTGTTGCTGTTCTTTATGCAATGTAACGTTAGGACCTTTAGTTGAGTGATGGCCGCTGTACTTGCTCTGTCATAGGTTTTTCGCTAAATATGTGACTAGCCTTAATGATTTTTTTGTAACAGCAAAGAGGCTAATGTTATATTGCAAATGTGTTATCTAGGCTACATTTTTGGCGTAATTTTAATTTTTAAGGAGGTTTCTTTGTTTATGATTTTAGTAAGATTGGGCAATTGCTTGTATTTGGTGTAAAACACATTGTTTTAGTAAGATATTTGGTAGCTTTGCTCCCGTGGCATTTTTTTTTTTAACTGTTTTATTTTCCTTTTTATTTATTATGTAGAGTCCCTTGTAAGCTAAATTTTTTGTAGTTTTGTTTTAACGGATTTCTTATTGAGAGAAAGATGTTTATAGGAGAAATTATAGAAAAGGTACCGGTAAACTTATTTCAGTATATAAGCAATTAAACATTCAACAGTTTAAGATGTTCAATGAGTTACCGAGGGATAATCTCTTTATTTTAATGACCAATTGCTCTTTAGGTGCAAATATCCTTTATTGAGAATTCTTTCTGTTCTTCTACACCCCCTACCAATTTTAACTCATGTATAACTACCATCAAGAAAAGCATGTACATGGAAGTCCTTGAGATTCCATGCAGTGGAATCTGAATCTCATTCATTGTGATAGGGAAAAAATTCTTTTAATTGTTTAACAATTTTTACATATTTCCATTTCTATGAAAAAAAAGAAATGGGAAGAGAGGTGATATGCTGATCTTTACATTGATTAGGTGTTTCACTGCTAGGAGGTATGTTATGAAAGGTTCCTTAAAGGTTCTGTTCTATTGCATTGTTGATTTAGAAATCTGGTGGGGATGGTATGAATTTCACCTGTAATGATGCAGCACTCAGTCACATGTGATGTACGTCTTGACTGTGAAAATAGAGGAAAACAGCTAGTTAACTATTTCATTGTATTTCTTTAATCTCATTTTCAGTGTAAGCATTAAAAAAATTCTTTTTTTTCAGTGTTTTTATGGGTAATCATTAATCCTAGTGATAGTTTTTTTCATAATATTCTAAAATGCGGGGATACAGTTAGCAATGAGGAGGAAATCCAAACTTAGTTGGAGAGTTGCTAATTTGCTTTAACCAGGTTTTTTTAAGAGATATTTGTAAAGCATTAATAGTTTATCACATACCTTATGTTGTGTACATCAACTAGCTTATGTTCGCCCATGATTCATTTTTAATTCTCTAATTTATGTCCTAGAAACATCAAGCATTCACTGTGTGTATACAAAGATGGATACTTCAATATGTTAACTCATGTCCAGACATGAGACATTACTGGCAGAAATGGTGATAAACTTGTTACACTTAGAAAAGCTGATAAACTTGTTGACTGAGCTTGCAAAATATCCATTTAAACTAAACCAAACCTAGATCCAAACTGAACTATACGTAATAAAACTAAATGTTGAATTACAACAATTTTTCATTTGATTTACAGTTGTTATATAAATTATTACTTGGGTAGTTGAGGAACTGTGTTTATTGTAGTTAAGGTACTGTATAATAATCTATAAGTAGAATATTCTTGTACTGTTTTGAATCAAGAAATAGAACTATAATTTTCTCTTCTTCAGTATATTTTTTATCTTTTTCTAGTAGGTATCAAAGATCACAATCTTGGGTGGTCTACTTCCGCATTCAAACCGTAGTCACCTTGGTTCAGGATTTGTTTTTCAGTTTGGGTTGGTTGAAGTGCACCCACTTGGTTTTGGGATTGCCTGAAGTGCTCCAAATTACTACTTAACCTTGTATCAATTCCCATTGTCGTTGTTGTCGTGCCAAGTCCTTGTTTCGATAAAAAATCCTTCCAACTTGAAATTGAATGCTTGTCGGCTGTCATGGCATCTCTCAGTAAGTCATCCTCTGGTACTTGTTTTCTAAGCATGACCAGTAGTAATTTAAATTTCTCTTTTAATATATCTAAAACTTTATGTGAGAATCCTTGGATTCTGAACTCTAGTGCAATTGATCATATAACACCTTATTCTCTTTACTTGTCATCATATATTTCTCTTTCTAATAATCAAATTACTATTGCCAATGAAACTCAAGTCCTAATAACTGGATGTGACAATGTTTCTCTTTTTCCATAATCCTTGGATTCTGAACTCTAGTGCAATTGATCATATAACTATTCTCCTCACTTGTCATCATATATTTCTCTTTCTAATAATCAAATTACTATTGCCAACGAAACTCAAGTCCCAATAACTGGATGTGACAATGTTTCTCTTTTTCCATCTATTAACCTTAAAGAGGTCATTCATGTTCCAAAACTTTTCAAGAATGTTGTTTGTGTAAACAAATTATTTACACGTGACCTTAATTGATTTGTAACTTTCTTTCTCTCTTATTGTGTTTTTTAGGATCTTGTCACAGGGAGGACGATTGGAACTGTCAAGGAAAGAGGAGGGTTATATTAAAAGCTTGAAAATCATGGGATGTGTTGGTAAAAATGTAACTCCCTCTTGTCACCAATCTTGCATTACTTCGGAGTCCTTTCAAATTTGGCTTCTACATCATCATCTTGAACATCCATCATTTTATGTTTTCAAGTCTTTGCTTCTTCGTTTTCAAATAAGTTTGTTGAGTCCTTTTAGTGTGATATATGTCAATTTGCAAAGCATCATCATGTCACATATTCTCCTTGTAATACAAAAAGTGTTAGCCCTTTTGATTTTATTCAATCTCATGTGTGCGGTCCTACATCAAGTACTATTATTTCTAGTACTAAATGTTTTGCCTATTGATGATTGCACTCGCATCACATAGATTTTCCTCATGAAAGAAAAATCTGAAGTTTCTTTATTTGTAAAATTCTGTGTGATACATACACATACAATATAGAAAAACTATAAAACCTTGCTTTCTAATAATGGGAGAGATTATGTAAATCATGACATGTCTAACTTAATCTCCAAAAAGGGTATTATTCATGAGTTCACATAGGTGTATACACTGCAGCATAATGGGATTGCTGAGAAAAAAAAAAAAACATAGGCACCTCGTTTGTAGCTATTATGCTTTTCTTTTCTAGATGTATGTTTCTAAGTCTTATTGGGGGAGGTGGTCCTTATTAATGCCTACCTCATTAATAGATTACCCTCTTGTATTCTTGATGATGTTAGTCTTGTTAAATTTATATCCTCTTTCTTTTTATTTGTTCCTTTGTTATTAGTCTTCCGAGTGATGTTTTTGGATGTGTTGTGGGAAATTACATCTTAAAACTAACTGCATATTCATTGGTTATGCATCTCATAGAAAGGAATATCGTTATTATCATTCTCTAAGTTGGAAGACTCATACCTATATGGATGTCACCTTTTATGAATCCACATCCTTTTATGAACGTCCTTTGTGCCTATGTTGTAGGAAAACAAATCTTCATCTTCCCATATTCATGTTAACCTTGGTTCATCTTTGATAAGAGTCAAGTTATGTTTCGCTTGGAAGGTATATATTAAAATCTTTAGTTCTAGATCTTTAACAATTGAGATTGAACTCAAGAATGTTTGTGAATGGACACGAATTTAATCTAATTGGATTATATCAGTGTGAAGTTTATATTCAAGAGGAAGAACTAATTCATATAAGCAAGAACTTGAGATTGGATCGAAAATGGCATGAAGAGTGTTTAATAGAGTGAAAACTAAGTGTATGGTTAATCTTCATTGTATGTAAAATACACATAGGGTATTATACTTATAGTGAAGAGTAATATAGGAAAATATGGCAAATACATATAAATATGGTAATTATAAAAAATTGTTAGATATTGTGACTAATAATATCTAATAATATTTAACACTTCCCCTCAAGCTAGTGCATATAAATCATATGCTATGATGCACGGATACGTTTGAAAGACCAACGTATTCATATCGGATACATATCCGATACTGATTCACTCCGATACTTAAAAAATTTGTATCGAAAAAGAATGGGAAAGAAACAATCCAAACAAAAATAAAAACAGAATAACAAATATTTTCCTGTTATTATTATTGTTAAATTAATCAAAACAGATTTGAATTATTTAAATATTTATCAAAACAGATTTTAATTATTTAAATACGTATCTTTTTGACCTAACATTTTATTTTTCTGAGAGCTTATAGTTTCATGTTGTTGCTACCGTTTGTTTCTCCTTGATTTTCTCTCGCTTCCTCTGTTACGGGTTTGTTTGTTATCTGTTCCTGCGTTTGCTTCTCTTTGTTTTTTTTTTTCGCTCCCTTCGTCTTCCAACGTGAAACTTTCCTCTCTTTTTTTGTTCTAACGTGTGAGATTGCTTTCCTTTTTCTTTAGTGTGTGTAATGACTCCATCGTCTTCTAGAGTGTTCCAATGTGAGTTGGTGTGTGCAATACTTTTTCCACGTGAGACTCACTACGTGTTTTTCATCTTGTTGTGAAAGAAATTGGAGTACTTATTCTTTCATTCACTCATTGAAAAGAAATAAGCTGAATCCTAAAAAAGTAGAAGACTTGGTTTATGTGCATACTAATTTACAACTTCTGGCTAGGCAAAGTGAAGAATATAACCAAGGGAACTCTAAAATGTGGGACATTAGTGGAGATGCATGGGATGACTTTGACGATGTTGGAAACCTTAGAGAAGCAACATTATCTCTTGATGAACCGGACATGAAAGTCTGTTTTATTTACTAATGATGCTCAAGGAGGAGATGAAATTGATACTATTT